CATGTGATACAACGTAACCACGTGTCTTGAGCACCTGCGTCGCTCAGTGAGCCCGTATTAGTAAATTGAGCTCACTAATACAAGATCTCTTTTTCTGACGCGACACTGGACACAGTGCTCGTGGTAGTCACAGCGGTAACCTCACCTCAACCATGCGGATCAGGGCGACTCACACCACTATTGAGGAGGAGAGAGCGCAGCACTAAACCCATTAGAATGAGTAAATCATTATCACGTGATCAGTGCCGCGAGCGGGCGGAAACTGCAGTTTGTTTGTAACTTTCTATACAAGTAATTAGTTTTAGTTAATATTATGAGCAGCTCGGTGACAGGAATCAATGGTTCATTGTTGCTTGTGTGGGAGTGATTTTATTTTACGTGTTTGTTTTGGGTGGGTACCTAGTGTTTGTTGCTCGTTTTCACAGCTAATCAGCAATTGATGCGCAATTGTGTATTATATTGTAATCAAGGTCCGAAAATCTAAGGCGGGAGATTTGTCGGCACAAGAAATTAGGAGAAGGGTTAAGGAAATGGTTTGGATTTTGGTTTGGGTTAAGGTACTGGTTAGAGTATGAGAATTGTCTCTCCACCTAAACATAACCCTAATTTTCTAACAAATCTCCCGCTGTATAGTCTCACGACATCCTGGACCCCGGTTATAATTTGTCGTGTATACCAACTCTTAGTGTCTCAGTATTTTGTGTGCAGACTTGGTGTTTGTTCTGCACTATTTCTGTGCCACTCATATCTTTAGACGCGTGTCATATTCATGATAACGTTTTTATATAATAATATTTCATAGATAATATTTCGTTCATGTGTTCTGTTGTGATATAAAGGCCACTTGGTAATCTAACTAGTTGGGGCACACTTGGTAATCTAGCACACTTGGGGCACACTTGGTAATCTAGCTAGTTGGGGCACACTTGGGGCACACTTGGTAATCTAGCTAGTTGGGGCACACTTGGTAATCTAGCACACTTGGGGCACACTTAATAATCTAGCTAGGCACACTTGGGGCACAAAATTGAAATTCCCGGGGCAAAGTTGGGGCACAAGGAGCGTCCTTCTCATTCCTACAAGGGATATTACAATTTAAACTGATTTCTATATGAGTGAGTTTTATTATAAGGACCATTGCGATAATTTTACATTGAAATGTATAGATTTATTTTTCTCTCAGTCAAATTTTATACTTCAGTTACAAATTTGCAAGCCAAACCAAATCTATCTTAGTATTGATTAGTAAATACTCCGAGGAATTTTTTCTCCGTTTGAACAATCATAATTTGTTGCATATACTGAGATCAAACTATCAATTTACAGGCTGTCGTCAAAAATGTTGCAAATACTCTCTAGTGAATACTCTCCGTATTGTTGCAAATACTCTCTAGTGAATACTCTCCGTATTGTTGCAAATACTCTCTAGTGAATACTCTCCGTATTGTTACAAATACTCTCTAGTGAATACTCTCCGTATTGTTGCAAATACTCTCTAGTGAATACTCTCCGTATTGTTGCAAATACTCTCTAGTGAATACTCTCCGTATTGTTACAAATACTCTCTAGTGAATACTCTCCGTATTGTTGCAAATACTCTCTAGTGAATACTCTCCGTATTGTTACAAATACTCTCTAGTGAATACTCTCCGTATTGTTGCAAATACTCTCTAGTGAATACTCTCCGTATTGTTACAAATACTCTCTAGTGAATACTCTCCGTATTGTTGCAAATACTCTCTAGTGAATACTCTCCGTATTGTTACAAATACTCTCTAGTGAATACTCTCCGTATTGTTGCAAATACTCTCTAGTGAATTCTCTCCGTATTGTTGCAAATACTCTCTAGTGAATACTCTCCGTATTGTTGCAAATACTCTCTAGTGAATACTCTCCGTATTGTTACAAATACTCTCTAGTGAATACTCTCCGTATTGTTACAAATACTCTCTAGTGAATACTCTCCGTATTGTTGCAAATACTCTCTAGTGAATACTGTCCGTATTGTTGCATTACTAAGGTTGTGTTATTGAACCTGAATGGGGAACTTCCCCGCAGTTCACCACAAGTTCACCCCACAGTTTAATTGTGCGATTCATTTATACCACAGAGTTCCTGCTTCTAGTTCTAGTACACAATCTTCTGCAATTAAAGCAGTGAGGTGGAATAATTGCACGTTTTAATAATGATAATGACACGGTTTCCTGGTAATTATTCACTAATTACCTGTAAAACCATTATTCTACAATAATTATTATTGATTTCTCTCCAGGAGATGGAATCCTTCTTGTTACCTGTCACGTGGTAACCTGTCATGTGGTAATGAGGCAGCTGGAAGTTCAATTATTTCACGTCACCCAACAACAATTGTCATGAAGTGATGGAGCGGTGTTTGCCGTTATTTGCTATTTGTACAGAGGTCACTCGCTACGGCTCCAATTCTGCAGTTCAACCGTTTTGTGACATTACAAATATCCTGACCGCATTAAGGTATTTTTAAGAATCATTTTTGTCGGTAAGATCCTGTTTTATAATAATAATAATAATCTTCAACTTGTTAAGTAGGATTTATTGGCTATCTGCTACTCTGTTAGTTGGTTACAGCTTTATTTTTCAGTAGTCACATTGGTGTTAAAATACTTAGAAGTTGGTGCACGGAGACAAATATAGATAATAGAATGGCTTCTCTACAACAGAGAGGCAAATATTGGTATTTGAATCTATTCTCTATATCGCAAAATGTCATGCCGCTCCCAAACCAGTATTAGCATTTTTCATTTGCCCTTGTATTAGTGAACTTGCTCCCAATAATATTTACTGATTAAAAAATTTCTATAATTATAATATGTTATATAATATAATATTTCATATCAAGATATGCTTTCTTAGATCACCACAACTCCACAACCATTTGTGATTGTTGAGGATGTCTAAAAATGAGGAAGACAGATTTGATCCAATTTACGGACGGTCGGTGAGCAGCATACATACATGTTACATGGTAAGGTCTCCTCCTAGTCGTTGGAGTGGCCTGCATCACACACATCGCGTTGGCGGCGTAACATATGTCTCCACTGTACTCGATTGGTAGCCAAAGCTTCTGTTGTGTCGTTGTCGATGTTTTCAACACCTGTAAACTTAGCAGCATCTTCGAGTACGCAGGACTTCCAGTTCTTACGGGGTCTGCCCCTTGACCTCTTTCCATAATTTGGCTTCCAGTTTAACAGAAACCTCGGTAGTCTAGAGTCTGGCATTCTAACTACATGTCCATACCAACGTAGCCTGGCAGCACTGATGAAAGTCTCAACTGACTTGATGCCAGCCCTCCTAAGAACTTCGTCGTTGGTCACATGAAAGAACCATTTAATCCTAAGGATCCTTCTCAAGGAGGTTTGATGGAAAACCTCGAAGCGTTTCATCTGCTTTTTGGTGGTGTTCCAGACTTCAGCTCCATACAACAAGATGGTGAGGACAGCAGCCCTATAGATCCTGATCTTGGTTGGAGTCTTTATAGTTCTGCTATTCCAAATGTTCCAGAGCTGACGAAAGGCGCCATTAGCCTTCTGGATACGGACATCCAGGTCTCTGTTGATTGTCCCATCCCCACTGATAGTTGCACCCAGGTAGACAAAGTTGCTAACCTGCTCGACGGGTTCACCCTCAACCGACAGCTCAATACAATCATCCTTGATGAAAGGTCGCTGGGAGGCGCACTTGCTTACAGCCATGCATTGGGTCTTCTTTGCATTTATTCTGAGCCCAGCGTAGGAGCTGTAATGAACTAATAGATCAGTTGATTCCTGTAGGCCTTCCCCTGAGTTGTCCATAATAGCCATGTCATCAGCATAATCGGTGTCCAGAATGACCTTTTCCTCGACCGTCTTTATCTCTTTCTGCAGCACTGCGCCTTGACTGATGATCTTGTTGGTCTCAGCCAGAAATGCAGAAAAGTTTAGGCAGAAATTAAAGACAGGAGGTGCTTGAATGTCACCCTGACCTGTGCCTGAGTTAACATCAAACCAGTCTGTCAGCTCCCCATTAACCCTCACGGCACTCATGGTACCCCCAAAAAATGACTGAAATATTCTGACATATTTTTCAGGCAGCCCATAGTGTCTCATACTGCACCAAATAAAGTCCCTTCTGATAGAATCGAACGCTGCCTTGAAATCCACAAAATTAATGTAAAGAGGAATGTTAAACTCAAGACAGTTATGAATAATAGTTCGGAGAGAATAAATCTGATCAATACATGAGCGGTTCTGTCTAAATCCGCACTGATTTTCCCTGAGGAGACACTCCATACCAGCATGTAACCGCTTAAGAAGAATCATCTGAAAAAGCTTGGATGCTGTAGACCTTAAGGTGATCCCTCTGTTGTTCCCGCAGACTGAAGTGTCTCCTTTCTTCCCAATAACAATGATCACACCCTTTAACCAATCTTCAGGAACAGTCTCTTCTTCCCACACTTTCTTGAATAGACACTCTAGTTGATCAACTAGAGCACTCGCACCATACTTCAGTTGCTCGTTAGTTATCCCGTCCACTCCTGGGCTTTTGTTGTTCTTAAGCTTTGTCAGGGAATAACTAATCTCGTCTCTGGTGGGTGGTCCATCCGAACAAGAGAGAGAGTTAAAGTGGGGTTGGGGTGGTACTGTGTCAAGGTCGGCAAGGTCGACACTTGATAATGGTGAGCAGCACGGTGAGCAGCACGCCAATTGAAATAGCAATCAAACTAATAATAGTCTCATGTCTCAGCGATATTCAAAGATCAAAGATAAGATGCCTTATAAACCCATGCTTGTGATTCAAAGCTAGAGCTTCCGTTAAGACTTAAGAACACCGGAAGTCTGCATGTTTTGCGTTTATAAAGGAGCATGATACTTGAGCATAGAATATCCACGCTTTTATGGTATGTGTTTTTGACAGATTTGCTAATAATTTGATAGACACTGACAAGATGGCATCCAACAGTTACTGACAGACTTATTGTCACTGACCTGTTTAAGAGAGGTAGCATTAGTTCTGTCTGAGCCTTTAGTGTGTTGCGCCAGCAACAGGTTGAGGTTGCAGAGTCGGTCTGTGGTAACGCTGTAGTGGAGTGGCAGTCGTCCTTGTAAACATCGTACCTGTAAATTAGTTGTAGTTGTTGTGAACTTATAAACTAGTTATTTGTGTGTAAACCAGTTGAATTTGTAAGTTGTTTGTGTGTCGGATGATCATAATTTTATGAGAATAGATTGACAAACTAATATTAATAATTATAGTTCGAAAATCACTGTAGTTCAGAGGAAACATATACCAATATAATAGTAGGTGCGGTAAAACATTTTAAATAGTATGACCCCAGTCCTGCCTACAATCGCCAAATTTGCAGTCTTTATTTAGGTAGTGGTACTCTCAGGTTGGATTATCCAACAGTTTAGTATAAAAGTATAACGTTGCTTTACACGATTGTTTAGTTTAAAACGTCGAATAACTTACAAGGTTTAATGTATTACACCGAGTTTCCTGACTAGTTTCCTGACTAATCAAGATGTAAAATTCTAGAATCGCCCTCGAAGATTTTACAATTACATGTGCAGGATGGTTGAGCTGACGATGAGCATAATTAGTTTTTGAATGAGCATAAATGAGGTAGGGTATTCACTATTCGGCATTGTAATTTACAACATTGGATTGCAACATTATGTGTGTATTAAGTATTTCTAAACACATAATCTAGCTAGCTACAATTAGTTATTCATTTGGCAAGATTCATCCTCTTTTGTTTTTTTCCTTCAATCATCGATAGTATTTATGTATTGTATTTTTTTCCAAAAAGAATTATTGATAGTACTATTACATGCCATCTGATAAAATGAATTAACAATGAACCTTCTGTGAATACGGAAGAAAATTTGACTATATTATATGTATTATATAATATTATGTGTTTTTCCTGATTCGACACGTACCAAAGTTCGACAGAGGTGATTTATGTCGAACTTTAGTGCTGCCCGTCAGGTCTCTTCAGCCTTATGTGGACATGCTGAATTAGCAAATGAAGCGCTTGTGTGGTATGAATGAATAGCTATTAGTAGCAACTAGTAGCGATTCATTATTCAATCAGTAATAGCGTAGGATTCGGGTGTGTTAAACATGAAATTAATTCGAATAGCTGTTGACCAATAAAATAGGCTTCTGAGGGTGTTGTAAACCAGGAGCACCTACTTTTGAATAGCACAACCAGGCCATAAACCAAGCTTGTGGGTATCTAGGTTTATATTAATAGCACAACCAGGCCATAAACCAAGCTTGTGGGTATCTAGGTTTATATTGATAGCACAACCAGGCCATAAACCAAGCTTGTGGGTATCTAGGTTTATATTAATAGCACAACCAGGCCATAAACCAAGCTTGTGGGTATCTAGGTTTATGTTAATAGCACAACCAGGCCATAAACCAAGCTTGTGGGTATCTAGGTTTATATTAATAGCACAACCAGGCCATAAACCAAGCTTGTGGGTATCTAGGTTTATATTAATAGCACAACCAGGCCATAAACCAAGCTTGTGGGTTTATGTTGATATTAGAATGAACGAGTGGCTTTAGGGCTCTGAAAGTTTGTCACTCTAATGTAAATTGTGGGAAATGGTTAACTTTAGTTAAGGTCTTATGACGTAGAGACATAAGACCTTAACTAAAGTTAACCATTTCCCACAATTTACATTAGAGTGATACCCACAAGCTTGATAATGTTTCCCAGTGGTGTTGGAACTTGAACATTTTTTGTTTGTTATTCAGCCTTAGGTGCAACATATTGATATATAAGCGTTGCCGATTAATTATTTTAATATTTTGTGGATTTATGAACCAGTCTACAAGTAGTTTCTTGAAGTATAATTCCTAATTCCTAATGCAAATTGGACAAACAATTGCTGAGTCATAGGAGTTAAAGCGGTGTGCCCATATCCAGTATACACCGACTGAAAATATAATAATTAATGTAAATCTCGAGCTACACTTGCGGGAAGATAGTTTTTTCTATAGAAATTAGAAGTGCATGGCTGTATAGTGTATACAGTGTATACAGTGTATACAGTGTATACAGTGTATACAGTGTATACAGTGTATACTGTGTATACACTGTATACACTGTATACACTGTATACAGTGTATACAGTGTATACAGTGTATACAGTGTATACAGTGTATACTGTGTACACTATACACTACATAGTGTACACTACATAGTATTTGTGATAAAAACAAAAACAAAACCATAATAATGGCCCCATATCCGTGTGATATGCCGCATAAAAAGAAAAGTTCAGTAATGTGCCATTCAAATGATGTGGGGGACACCACCATTAGGGGTGCCAGAGAGCATGTGCTAACTGGGGGACACCACCATTAGGGGTGCCAGAGAGCATGTGCTAACTGGGGGACACCACCATTAGGGGTGCCAGAGAGCATGTGCTAACTGGGGGACACCACCATTAGGGGTGCCAGAGAGCATGTGCTAACTGGGGGACACCACCATTAGAGGTGCCAGAGAGCATGTGCTAACTGGGGGACACCACCATTAGGGGTGCCAGAGAGCATGTGCTAACTGGGGGACACCACCATTAGGGGTGCCAGAGAGCATGTGCTAACTGGGGGACACCACCATTAGGGGTGCCAGAGAGCATGTGCTAACTGGGGGACACCACCATTAGGGGTGCCAGAGAGCATGTGCTAACTGGGGGACACCACCATTAGGGGTGCCAGAGAGCATGTGCTAACTGGGGGACACCACCATTAGGGGTGCCAGAGAGCATGTGCTAACTGGGGGACACCACCATTAGGGGTGCCAGAGAGCATGTGCTAACTGGGGGGACACCACCATTAGGGGTGCCAGAGAGCATGTGCTAACTGGGGGACACCACCATTAGGGGTGCTAGAGAGCATGTGCTAACTGGGGGACACCACCATTAGGGGTGCCAGAGAGCATGTGCTAACTGGGGGACACCACCATTAGGGGTGCCAGAGAGCATGTGCTAACTGGGGGACACCACCATTAGAGGTGCCAGAGAGCATGTGCTAACTGGGGGACACCACCATTAGGGGTGCCAGAGAGCATGTGCTAACTGGGGGACACCACCATTAGGGGTGCCAGAGAGCATGTGCTAACTGGGGGACACCACCATTAGGGGTGCCAGAGAGCATGTGCTAACTGGGGGACACCACCATTAGGGGTGCCAGAGAGCATGTGCTAACTGGGGGACACCACCATTAGAGGTGCCAGAGAGCATGTGCTAACTGGGGGACACCACCATTAGGGGTGCCAGAGAGCATGTGCTAACTGGGGGACACCACCATTAGGGGTGCCAGAGAGCATGTGCTAACTGGGGGACACCACCATTAGGGGTGCCAGAGAGCATGTGCTAACTGGGGGACACCACCATTAGGGGTGCCAGAGAGCATGTGCTAACTGGGGGACACCACCATTAGAGGTGCCAGAGAGCATGTGCTAACTGGGGGACACCACCATTAGAGGTGCCAGAGAGCATGTGCTAACTGGGGGACACCACCATTAGGGGTGCCAGAGAGCATGTGCTAACTGGGGGACACCACCATTAGAGGTGCCAGAGAGCATGTGCTAACTGGGGGACACCACCATTAGGGGTGCCAGAGAGCATGTGCTAACTGGGGGACACCACCATTAGGGGTGCCAGAGAGCATGTGCTAACTGGGGGACACCACCATTAGGGGTGCCAGAGAGCATGTGCTAACTGGGGGACACCACCATTAGGGGTGCCAGAGAGCATGTGCTAACTGGGGGACACCACCATTAGGGGTGCCAGAGAGCATGTGCTAACTGGGGGACACCACCATTAGAGGTGCCAGAGAGCATGTGCTAACTGGGGGACACCACCATTAGAGGTGCCAGAGAGCATGTGCTAACTGGGGGACACCACCATTAGGGGTGCCAGAGAGCATGTGCTAACTGGGGGACACCACCATTAGAGGTGCCAGAGAGCATGTGCTAACTGGGGGACACCACCATTAGGGGTGCCAGAGAGCATGTGCTAACTGGGGGACACCACCATTAGAGGTGCCAGAGAGCATGTGCTAACTGGGGGACACCACCATTAGGGGTGCCAGAGAGCATGTGCTAACTGGGGGACACCACCATTAGGGGTGCCAGAGAGCATGTGCTAACTGGGGGACACCACCATTAGGGGTGCCAGAGAGCATGTGCTAACTGGGGGACACCACCATTAGGGGTGCCAGAGAGCATGTGCTAACTGGGGGACACCACCATTAGGGGTGCCAGAGAGCATGTGCTAACTGGGGGACACCACCATTAGGGGTGCCAGAGAGCATGTGCTAACTGGGGGACACCACCATTAGGGGTGCCAGAGAGCATGTGCTAAGTGATCATTAAAGGGAGCACTGAGGTCAGTATTGTGTACAAACAAAACGTGCTAATATAAGTAATTTATGCATATCAATATACTCCAACACAATCAGATGCCGCCTCGAAATATCTGTGTTTGTATGTATCTAGAAGTCTAACCTTTGTAGTAATAGAATATAAATTAGCCTATATGATATATCGCAGGCTAACTAATACTTTAAATTTCATCAGTTTTGGTAACATCGTTTTTTATTCGGCTCCTTGGTTTAGATCCATGATCAAGTCTCTGTACGGGGTACCTACCTATTGAGGGGTACCTACCTATTGAGGGGTACCTACCTATTGAGGGGTACCTACCTATTGAGGGGTACCTACCTATTGAGGGGTACCTACCTATTGAGGGGTACCTACCTATTGAGGGGTACCTACCTATTGAGGGGTATCTACCTATTGAGGGGTACCTACCTATTGAGGGGTACCTACCTATTGAGGGGTACCTACCTATTGCGGGGTACCTACCTATTGAGGGGTACCTACCTATTGAGGGGTAGCGAAAACAGCTTTGTAGTTATCCAGTAACTACTTGCGTCGGTGTTCCCAGTTTTGAGGAGACTGTGAGCTTTTTAATATTGTTAATGACCGAAATTAAACTTGATTGAGTCGCCGACTAATATGTTGAACGCGCCTCACGCCTGAAAGCTTTTCTAAAATTTGATGCAGGTCTTCTGCTGCGACTCAAACATT